TCCCTGCCGCATCAGAAGCCATGACAAAAACCTTCTGGTAGATCTCGAATCATGAGAGGATAAAACGTCTTGTACAATCCAGAAAAGCCGCAGTCCTGGGTGCCCACAGCCCACACCAGCTCTCTGAATACAGACCCTCACAATCCACGGGGTTATCTCTCCAGGTCCAGAGCCCTGCGCTCAGGTCTCACTTGATCCCAGAACAATAGCCCCTCAATTCTTAAGCCTGTTCTTGGCCATAAGACATCCAGTCAGAAATCCAAGTGAACACACCCATATCCAGCAAATCAAATGAAATGCCAGCCCCCTTTAGAAGCTGGAGTGATGAATCCAGAACCCGTGGAAGCTCCTGACTCAGAACCGAACCGGGATTGACCCCTCTGTTCCTGGCCTCAGAGGGTACAAGCAATGAAGGTCAGGGGCTGCAAGGCTCGTAAAGGGCTCTGAAACTAGAATCAGGGTCAAGGATCAGGAGAGTGTCACCCCCTCAGGCCATTTTTAGGACCCGGGTGTACTGGTCCTCCCAGGCTCAGACTGACATCAGGTGCAGGAGTGTCAGTGAGTGTCCGGCAGGTCAGTAGGGATATTATGTAACGGGTGGGGTTGAGGGTGGAAAGGGAAAGGCAAGAACGAGTGAGGAGAGGAGGGAAGGAAGGCAAGGAGGAATGCAGGAAGAACGCAAAGAGTCGGGAAGTGGAGACGCAGGTGCAGGAAAGAGAGGCTTCTCACACTGGGGGCATCCAGGGAGATGCTGGCACAGAAAGGAAGGGTCTCCCCTGGCCTACAAAGGTCTCCCGAGCTGGCCTCTTCCTCTAGCCAAGCATGGGGTCCCAGCAGAAGCCCATCCTGTCGCCTCCCCCCACATCTGAGGTGCGCCCAGGTGGGGTTCAGCCATGACAGCTGGCCTCCTCCCTCCTCTTCTATCCGTCCTTTGACCCTCTTCCTTCCTCTTAACTGCCTGACCGTTCTTGGGCTCCTCCACTCGGTCTCCCCACCACCTTCCATCACTGCCCTGCAGCACCCTCCACCTCCTCTGCTTCCACGTGGTCCTCGGCAGCCATTGGCCCTCTTGGGGCTGTTTGTCTCCTCTGCACAGCAAGGGAGTCTCTGAGGCCATCCCAACACCAACATTCCATAGGTTCCCCCAACACCCCCCCTCAAGCTCTTTCCTCCATTTTCTCTCCCTCTCCCCCAGCTCTTTGCATCCCGACTCCAACTCCTTCACAGAGCCTTCTTCTGGCACTTTGGCTCCCAGGTCCCTCCTTCCAATCTGCTCAGCTCCCCTGGTCCAGCCCCTCTCTCCTTTCCTTTCCCCTTTCACCTCCTCTCCTCTTCCCCCCACCATGATTTCCCCCAATAGCCTTTCTTCTCTTGTCCCTTCATGCCTCTCCTCATTGCCCAGAAAGACCATGTCCTATCTGGGTGTCTCTGGGGACTGAGCCTCAAGGGAGTCAGAAGGGATGATGAAGGGGACGGTGAAAGGCAAACAGGGCCAGATTGCTCGCAGGGAGAGAAGGGGAGTTAAAGTCAGGTGCAAGGTGTGTGGGGGGAAGTGGAGCAAGGAGCCTAGAGAGCATTGCACAGAGAGGACCCCAGCTGGGACAGGGGCTAGCCAGGGACACTCTGCTGGGCAAGGGAGAGGAAAGGAATGAAGGAGAGTGTTGGAAGAGGCCACTCCTGGGAACTGGATGAAGAGAAAGTAGAGACATGAAGAAGATAAAGGTGAACTAGGAGAAAAGGGGGAAGGAGAGTAGAAAAGGGGTGGAAGGACTGAAAGTGATATGGGAGAACAAAGATTGGGAAGCAAGGATGGACAGATGTAGAACAATGATGGGGAGGCAGAGATGAGTGCAGAAATAGAAGGCCATGAGGGCATAGATGGGAAGTGAAGATACAGGCATGAAAGATGAGGGCAGAACAAAAATGGAGTAAAAAAAATGAGAGGGGATGGATGAACAGAAATGGAAGTGATGAGAATACAGAAATTAGAGGCAACAAGGTACAGAGTGAGAACTGGTAAAGGCACAGTGATGGGAGTCAAGATAAAAGGTGATGGAAGCATGGAGATGTCAGAGTGCCAAGATGGGAGGTGATAGGGGTTCAGAGATGGGAAGTGATGGGAGGACAGGTATAGGAGGTGATGAGGATATAGGGATGGGAAGTAATGGAGGTACAGAAACGGTGAGTGTTGGAGGGATGAGATGGGGACCGAAGATGAAAGGTGATGAAGTATATGGATGGGAAGTGATGGAGGTACAGAGATGGGAGGTGATGAGTTGCACCATATGGGAGGTGAGAGAGGTACAGAAACGGTGGTACCCTATGGAAAGTGATAGCAAGGTACAGAGATGGGAGGTGATGTGGAGTACAGAGAAGGGAAGTGGACTAAAATGGGAGGTGATGGGGGTCTCTGGGATGGTAGGTAACAGGAGCTTTGAGATGAAATGTGAAGGAGAGACTGAGATGGGAAATGATGGAGTCTGACATGGAATAAAACGTGAAGAGGGACACACATGGGAGGTAGTGGGGAGGGCAGAGATTGGAAGTTATGGGGATGCAATAATGGGAAGCGATGGAAGTACACATAATACGGAAGACAGAGATGGAAGGTGGCAGGTACAGAGATGGGAAGAGATGGCATCCAGAGAATCTTAGAGGTCTAAGGTATGAGGTGATGAAGGGACTGGGCTGGGAGGGCCAGCAAACCCACAAAGGGCAGAAACCAGAAGTGATAGAGGTCAGAAATGGAAGGTGATGGAGTCTGAGAGGGAAGAGGAAGTAGGTTTTGAGATGGAAGGTTATGGGAGGGGGCGCTGAGATAAGAGGTGATAGTCAGTGTAAAGTGACAGAGGACTGACTCCGGAGGTGATGGGGAGACTGGGATAGGGGAACAGAAATTCAAACAGTGGGAGGTGGGAGATGCTGAGGATCAGAGGTGGAGGTAGGGCAGAAATGAAGAGGTGTGGAGAGGAGAAACCGGAGATTCAGGGAATGAGGCTGGGAGAATAATGGGACAGTGGAGCGAGGTGATTGCTTGGAGGTGGTGGAAGGACAGTAATAGGGGAAAGACAGGACAAAGACGGGACAGTTGCTGGAGAAACAGAAGTAAAATAGAGACAGATATGAAGAGGTGAAAGAGGCAGAGATGGAACACATCTGAGCCAGAGATGATAGGTGGGACAGAGGTGAGAGGTTGGTGGGGGACAAAGATAAGAAAATAATGGGTACAGAGATGCTGGACCAGCAGTGGGAAGGCGACGGTGAGGCAGAGGTGGAGGTAAGCCAGGTGGAGAAATGATAAGGGGCAGGTATGGAGGAGGTGAAGACAAGAGAAACGGAAGGGAGAGCTGGGCAGAGAGGATGAAAGGACAGATGGGGAGGTGGTGAGGGGACCTAAACAGGAGGGTGATAACAAACCAGAGATAGGGATTCGGAGGTAAAGGTGAGGCGAGGAATGAAAGTGATGAAGACAGAGATGAGGATGATAAAGGGACGGGGTGGGGGGATTGTGATGGAGAGGCGAGGGTGGGGCTGAGATGCTGGGAACCGAAGATGGTAGGTGAGGGGATGCGGGCCCGCAGGGCCGAGGGGCCGAGCCTCGGCGCTCACGGGCTGGGGTGCGGCCCGCGGGGGCCAGGGCCGCGCACACGGGAGGCCCCGGGGGCCAGCCGGCCGGCCGGTATCGGCAGCGCCACTTACCGTGCCCGCCGCGGGTGAGGAAGGGCATGCGGTTGATGGCGATCGGCACGGTGCCGTGCTTGCTGTGGAAGTGGTGGACGTGGTGGGTGGTGCTGAGGCTGGAGGAGACCCGGGCCCCCTCGGCTGCCCCAAGCAGCAGCAGCAGCAGCAGTAGCGGCAGCAGAGGTGGCGGCGGCGGCGGCACGGGCCCGGCCAGGGCGGGGGGGCGGCGCGGGCACCCCCCCGGCCCGCTCCCCCCGGGGGGCATTTCGGCCCGGGGGCGGCCGCCTCACAGTCCCATGGTCGGGGGCAGGGACGCGGGGCTGCGTAGCCCCGCGAAGCCCCCCTCCGGCTCCGAGCCCCGGGAGGGGGGTAGGGGTGAAGAGAAGGAAAACCAGAGCCCAAGCCTCGGTCCCGAGCCAACGAAATCAACTGGATCCCGCCGGGAAATCCGGGGTCCGCAGAGTGGCAACGCCAAGGTCCAGGACGCCTGGGTCCATCGCGAGGAGCTAAGGGTCTCCCCGCATCCCGGCGGGGTCGGAGCGGCGCAGAGGGCCGTCAGAAACCCGGGGGAGCGCCCGGGGGAGGGGGCATGGTGCCGGGTGGAGAGGTAGGGGAGGCGCGGGGGCCAAGCAGGGAGGGGAGAGCGGGGGAAATCCTGCAGAAAAACCGAGCCGGGGAGGAGGGGGACTGGAGGAGAGAAGCGGGAGACCGACGGAGGCTAGGGCCGCTGCCGCTGCCGCTGCCGCCCGACGGAGACAGGGGAAAGGAGGGAGGGGCCGGGGGAGGGGGGGCGGGAGGAGAGGGAAGGGAAGCAAATCCGGGTGAGGGGGGAATGAAGGGAGAGGAGAGGAGGGGAGGAGAGGAGAGGAGGGGAGGAGAGGAGAGGAGGGGAGAGGAGAGGAGGGGAGCGGGGCTGAGCAGAGGAAAGGCGCGAGCCTGCTAGATTCCGGCGGAGAGATGGAGGCAGCGGAGGGTTGCTGCAGAGGCTGAGAGGGCTGGAAGGGAGAGGGAGGGAGAGAGGAGGGAGGAAAGGAGCGGAGTGGAGAGGGGAGGCGAGGGGAGGCGAGGGGAGGAGGAGCGCGGGAGAAGGAGGGGGCAGGGCGGAGGGACCCGGGCGGCTCCCGATCTGCGGGCGGCGCTGGGCAGCTCCGCCGCGCGGCTCCCGGCTAGCCCGCTCGGGGCTCGCCTCTCCTCTGCGCGAGCCCCGCCCCTCCCCCGCGCCCTGGCGCGCGCTCCCCTCCCGCCCCCTCCGGAGAAGGGGCCCTGCTGAATAATTGAACAGGACTGAGGCTAGCAGAAGAGGCCGCTCTCTCCCACCTCCTCCCTCCCCCCCCACCTGGACGAACCCCAGGAGTGCTCGCTGGTCCAGGGCGCAGAGATGTGGACACCGCCACCTCTGCACGCACGCCTCGGAACACACGTGCACGCTAGGATGTGGACGGGCTCGGGTATGGAGACACCCACGTGCCCATACAGGCATCAGTGTGCACGCACGCACACATAAGCTCAGATACATACATGCATACATGTGCTCATAGACACTGGCACACGAACTCACACTCAGCCGAGCGTGTACACATGCTCACGGAGGCAATACATGCACACACACATACATGTTTGGTCACAGGTAATGAATGAACAGCCAACGTACACACGGACGGCTCCCTCCAGCTCACCATCCAAAAACAAGGTCACCCATACGCATACAGACAACGCACCCAGAGGCTCAAAGGTACTCCAGAGTAAGACATGCCACACACACAGTCCCTCGCCACCTCTCCAAAAGGGTGCTCCCCTCCCCCCCACACACACCCTCCTGGACTCCTCCAATCCTTCCTGTCCACTTCCCCTGCCCCTCCCGCTGCCTCAACCTCTACCTCTGGGGAGGGGAGTTTCCAGGATACTTATCCACTGAGTGGCCCACTTGTGACAAAACCCTTCCTGGGCCACTTATGTCCAGCTGAGGAAGTCACTTCTCCTTCTAGGGGCCCCTCCACTGAGATCTGCCCCCTCCCAGACTTTGGGACACCTCTGGGAAGCACGTGTCACAGGCCAAGAGGTAAGTGCAGGGAGGCTTTCTTCCCTTCCTCTGGATGCCACCTCGGCATGGGGCCTGGGGGGGGGGGGGGGGGGGGGGGGAGATGCTGAAGGTAGAGAGGGAGGGAGGTAGAGATGGGACCTGGGAGGAGGCAAAGAAGGAGTGTCATAGGGTGAGAAGGAGAGAGGTGGTGAAGAAAGGGCAAAAGGAAGCAGGTGTGAAAGGGGAGGGAGGGGCTGGCTCCTGCTTATTGATTCTGAATTCCGTTTTGGAGCAAAAACTGCTACCAGGAGCCCCACAAGTTCTGCAACCAGGTCCTAGGTGCAGTCAGAACCCAGGACAGCTCCTCTGCCGCAGCTGCCACCTCCCCAGCCCTGCTAGATGCCAGGGCCCCATTTGGCCCCCAGCCCTTCAGAAGGGAGGAAAGGGGTCCTCAGAGGCACCCGGGAGGAAGTTTCCAGGTGGTGTGTGGCCCCATGAGGGAGGAGAGATTGCAGGCTGGGGAGCAGGGCTGGGGCCCCCAAAGCCTTGTCCTCCTGCCCTCTCATCCCCTGCACGCTCTTGGCCCTGGCGCTGAGGTAGAGACTGACATAGCTCTGAGCAGGCAGAAAATGTATGGTCCCGGAGGGAGGGAGGGAGGAGCCAGTGGCAAGAGGAGAGGAAGGGAAACCGCCTAGAGGCCAATCAATACCAGTGAGTGGGAAGTGGAGAGCTGGAGGGGGTGACGCTGGGGATCGAGGGGGAGAGACAGAGGGTAAAAAAGAAGGGAGAGACAGAGGTGTGCAAGAGATCAATAGAGGCTGTGGAGCAAGTGGAGAGACGAGAAACACACAGAGGGGCAGAGATGGGGAAGAACTGACTGCCCGGGCGAGCCAGAGACAGGCTCTGGGAGACTGAGCTGCCAAGGGGAGCTGTCCTGACCTCAGCCCTGGGACTTCAGGCCCTGCCAGGAAGCATGCCTCCTTCCAGCTTCCTTCCTCTCTCATTTCATATTCTCTTTTTCATTCTCTCTCCACTCTTCTCTCTCCCATCCTGGAGATGACTTCTTTCCCTCTGATCTCTCTCTTGCCTTCCCAGGGCAGACTCCTGAGCCCACAGAGGTACCTTCAGCCCCAGGTGTAATGCCCATATCCCAGACGGAGAAACTGAGGCCACACAAGGGGAAAGGCTGTCCTGAAGGTCGGACTCCTCCTCATTCCAGTCTCTTTACCACCAGACAGCTCCACACCCCAGGCCCAACCCTCTAAGGACACCTGGGCCATTCCCACCCGCCTCCCTCTCTTCGGGCACAGGGGCCCTTGGTGCCCAGTGGTGCCTCCAGGGCCTGCACACTTGGGGGTGAAGCAAACAGGCCTCTGGGCCAAGTTCCTGCTTGACGTTGTGCATCAGTGGAGCCTCAAGAAGACCCGCCCTAGAGAGACAGCGCGAACATGAAACAGCCAAGCCTGGAGAAGCGGTAGGAGGCACAGCTTCAAGAGAAAAGGGGGTGTGGCTTGACCCAAGATTCCTGCCTCGACCTTTGGGGCCAGAGATCTCAGAGGTACCCCAGGGCCAGAGTTTGGAGGCTCCCAGATTGCACCCACCTTGTCCTTACCTCCATGGCTTTGCTCAGGCTCTGCCACCAGACACACAGACCAGTGCTCGGGGACAGTGACACTTCCCAAGACGTGCCCAGCCCCAACTCTCCCTGCCCCCCACCTGCCCCCAGAGAAGTTGCTCCAAGCTCCCTTCCCACCCCTGCTGAAAGATGGCTTGACTCCCTAAACCACCATCCCTCTCTACGCTCCCTTCCAGAAAGCTCCATCATGTGGGAGTGTAATAGTGATGAAGGGCAGCAGCTCTTCTCAGCCCTGATGCCCTGCAGCCCGGACCAGCCATGCCCACCGTCGGCACCGTCTCCACCTCCGCCACTGCCCCCAACCCAGGGACTAAATGAGCAACAGGGGCAGCAAACTTTAGGGACGCCTAGGTTCTAGCACCTGTGATTCAGGGCAGGGAACGGGCTTTGCAAGCTGCAAAACACGAAACAATCAGTGGGGAATGTTACTGTTAAACAGCAAAGTTACCACCATCCCCAGATCGCCCGTGCAAAGCTGAGTGAGCTGGAGAGGACGAGGCCCAGCCCCGTCTCTATTCCCCGGCAGCCAGGGCTGGAGCGCCCCTGAGCTGGCCATTGTCTGGAGGCTGGAAGGTACACAGAGCGGCAGGTTGGACAAGAAAAATCCTGGGGGACAGGACGGGATGTGGAGGTACCGAAGGACAGGTCTGCCTTAGAGCACCAGGAAAGCACTGAGGGAGATTGATGGGCATTCTCACAAAGTAGAAGAAAAAATTATGACCCACGCAAGAGCCCAATCCCTGAAACCAGTAGGTTATCTATCCCGTAAGAAACTCAGGACTCTGCCCAGACGGCCAAGGCTCTGCAGTGTGGCACAGAGGCAAAGGCCCTGACCCCCGTTCTCAGCCCAGATCTACCGTTCACTCCTCCAGAAATCCACCCACCCCTCCAGGCCTCAGCATCCATGTCTGTAAAATGGAGAAGCCCTATCCTCCTCTGTGTGTCTGTGTGTGTGTCTGTGTGTCTGTGTGTTTTTCCCAGGCAGCTGACCCTTCATGTCCCTGGTCTCAGCAGGGCTACCCCAAGGAAGACCACTCAAATGACACCTGAAGAGGTTGCGTGCTCCCCAGCCCACCCCCTGCAAGCAGGAGGTTGGCTCTCCCCCGCTCTTGCCCCACTGCCCTCCGTCTGCCAAGCTCAACCAGCTGCTGGCCACCAACCACTAGGGACTGGAAACTGCTGCTGAAGCTGCCCTCTCTGGGAAGGGGCCTCAAACAATATGCGAGCTGGCAGTAGATACCCAGCCAGGGAGGAGAAGAGCCAGGTGAGGACACTAGGGAGTGTTCTTGTGGCTCCAAGGGACACCCTGCAGCTGGGCGGAAAACCAGGGAACTGCATCACAGCCGGCTTCCAGGGAAGCCAGCTCCAGAGGCCTGCCCTCCTGAGCCCGTCCTCTGGGGCGCAGGCCGACCCTGGGCAGGAAATCCCAGGCTTCCACTGCACGTTTCTGAGGGCACCAGAGGAAAGGGGGTGCAGGTCGACAATTCCCACCCCCCACCCTGTGCAACAGTGTGTACGTGTGAGCTACGACTTGTGAGACCATCGCCAGGATCGCATGGGGAGAGCGACAGAGGTTGACGCCCTTGGTGAGGGGTGAAGGGAGCGGTGTCCCACCAGCTCAGAAGGAAGAGGAGAGGCCGTCTATCAATGATTTGCCCCAGACATGCAGGCAGCAGCAGTCCTGCACAGGCCCAAGAGGGGACAGCAGCCAGCAGCTGCCTCAGTCTCTTGTGATGAGAAGGGATGAGAAGGAAGCAAGCAGCACGGCTCTCAGAGACCCTCCCTCCTCCGGAGCATCCCTGGGGCCGGGAACGGGCCAGGATCTCCCCCCAGCACCCCGAACTCTCCCGGTCCTGTACTCACGGTCGTTGCAGACGGGGCCTCCGTAGGAGGTCATGGTGCAGTCGCAGGTGAAGCCATCCCACTGCTGTAGGCAGACGCCCTGGTTGGCACAAGACTCTTCGGTGCAGGTGGTGCTGGGGCCTGGAAGAAGCAGGAGGAAGGAACACCCCCAGCTCAGCCAAGCCCCCTCCAGCCTCAGGAGGTATGGAAGCTTCGGGGCCAGGCCGAGAGGTCTTGCCCTCCTTTCTGCTGGGCAGAAAGGGCCAAGAACTGATGGGGGTGGGAGGGGGATGGAGGGGAGCTCAAGGACTGCTAGTCCTGGCCTGGAACTGTGATAAGTGGCCGGGGTGGGAGGCAACAGGGAGGGCAAGTGACCCCCCCTGACTCCCCCATACTCTGCCCCAGAGTGGCAGCTCCTGCGAGGCCTGAGAAGAAGGCCATCCAGCGGCCCTGGTCTGCCTCTACCGCTGGCCCCCCTGCAGTGTGCAGAGTCACACCCGACTTCTGTGCCCCACACTCACCGTCACAGCCCCTCTCCACCTGCCCGATGCGGTGCAGGGCGTCAGCGATGAGGTCGGGGAGGCGCCCGTTGAGGTCCACCGAGGCCAGGCAGCCCTGAAAGCCATCCCGGGAGGCCACCAGTTTGGGCAGGTTGTGGAACATATTCTTGCTGAGACCGCCAATGTACAACTCCCCTGCAAAGGGAGTGGGATCAAAACCTCGGCATCCCGCTCCCCAGGTCCCCGTTGCCCTCCCAGGACATCGGCACCCAGCTGTCAGGTCGTGCAGCCCCACAGTGTCCCATCCCGGACTCCAGTTTCCTCTCAGAGATGCAGCAGCCCGCAGATGCCCACCCTCCACTCTTCTTTCTTCCTTCTCCACTTTGCCATCTGTCTGCTCCCCTCCCAGAGAAGCCCAGATGCCCGGGAAGGGGGGTGCAGCTGGAGGAACCTGCTCCGTGCTCTCTCCCACACATCTGATTCCAGTTCCGGCCCGTAATCAGGGCCTTTCATAGATGTGCAGCCCGATCCCCTCCACCCCCACTCCCTCCCTTCTGAAGTCTCCCATCCCCAGAACTCCTTCAGGCCTCGGCCAGCCTCTCCCAGCTCTGAGTTGTCTCCTGGGGGTTCTAAGCCCAGCACCTTCCAACAACAACTAGGGCTTGGCCTGGGGACTCTGGGTGACACGAGGAAGTTCTCCTCAGGGACACATCACTGCCTGGCCACATAGACCCTAACTCCCTGAAAATCATGGCTGGCCCCCAGCAGAGCTCCAACAAGACATGAGTCAACCCTGCTGCCCTTGCCCTGCACTCAGTGCAATGCAAGACCAGCCCAAACCACCCCGGGTTTGCTGCCACTGAGGATTATCCAAGACACATCGCCCCCTTCTGGCAGCAGGGAGAATTGACAGCACTGTGCCATTCGTCAGGCCCTGGATCTGACCAAGCTTCTGGTTCCAACTCTGCGGCCGGCTCACTTTGTGACCTTGGGCAAACCATGTAGCCTCTTGAAGCTTCCATTTCTGTCTCTCCAAGAGGGGGATGAATAGTCTCTAAGGGCCCTCCCCCATCTCGGACAGTCCCAGTCGCACTGACACCAGGGGTCCCTAAGGGACTGAGGGCTGCTTTGGGCATGTGAGGGTCGCTCACGTTACCCCGGTGGGCTCTGGAGAAGCCGCAGGCCTTGTCCTCACTCCTGTGCCAAAACCCCGGTCTCTAAGCTCATCCTCTTCCCTCCTCTCTCACCCACCCATTCTGGGGGCAGGCAATGACTTTCATTAGCTACTGAAGACACCCTGGGGAATGTAAGTCCCTGGTATGACGCTGAGCCCACCAGGGAGGCCCCGAGTCCAAAAAAGTTCCCAGACCTAGTCCAGCCAATGCCCAAGGGCTATGACCAGGGCAGCATGTGGGGACCCAGTTATTGCCCCTCCTTCCTCCCCACATCACTGCCCCCTCCTGCCCCAGCAGGGAGGCATCTGCCAGGACACTATTCTCTCTCCAGCCCCCAACCAAGGCAGACTTCTCAACCCTGGAGGGCCAAGAGGTCTTCAGAAGGCGCAGCTGCCTACTCCTAGCTCTAGAGTGAGGCCACTAGGCTCCCCGTGAGACAGACACAACCTGCAACCAGGCTTTCAGTGTTGGGAGGGCAGCCTCGCAGGGGAGCTGAGCAGAACTTTGACGGGAAGATGTCAGGCTGGACACAGTGGAGAACAGGAAAGAGCGAGGGAAACCATGGGTGGGGGCAGGGGGAGAATCACGCGCGTGAAAGAGCATCCCAGGTCAGGGGTGATCTTGCTGGGGCCGAGGGGGCATCTGGGGTAGGGCCAGGCCTTCTGCAGAGGCCCCAGGCCCCACCTTTGAGATCGAGGTTTCGGGCGCCATTGGAGTGCTGAGTGACAGTGCGGGAGTCGATCTGGAGCGTGTGCACGTTGCCGGGGTCCCTGGACACCACCACGTTGTGCCACTGGTTGTCATTCACTGGTTTGTCTGAGTTCCCCTTCATCAAGGACGGGCCATTCCCCAGGTCAAACACGTAGTGGATGTACCTGCCCCACAGTAGGGAGGAGACACTGGGTCAAGGTGGGGCCGATGCTGGGAAGGCGGGGAAAGGAGGAGCTATAGCTCCGGCGGGGCTGGGAGCTGTAAGCAGAAGGGGTGGAGAGGGAGACCTCATAGACACGAGGACTCTGGTGTGAGGTCCCGTCATGGGCGGATGCGGGCAGGGAAGGCCACAGAGGACCTGGCTCCGAGGGCAGGCTCAGAAGAGAAGCTGGTGGGGTGAGAGATCTGTGAGGGCAGCAGGGTCCTCTGGGGGCAGGGACAGAGCTGCTCTAGGGCGGGGACCTCTCAGGCGAGAGAGGCCAGAGGGACACAGCCCTGTCTTCTGCCTGAGCCAGGACAGCGAATGGAGGACAGATATGACTGGGAAATCCCTGGCAAGGAAGTAATGGGGGGGGTCACCAGGGTGGAGGACAGGGTGCTGCTTCTCCATCTCGGCTGGTGGGGGGCAGACCTGAACCTTGACCTGTGGTCTGGGGGGATTGGACATCTCAGCCAGTGGCTGGGGGAGCTGCATCTTGGTCATGGCGGGTGGGGGGGAACCACGTCCTTGACAGCGGTGTAGTGCCCAGCACCTCACCCCTTGACCAGCTCGATGACAATGAAGTCGTTGCCATTGCCCGAGTTGAACAGGAGGAGCCCGTCGGGGGCTGTAGTCTTGAACTGGAAGAAGAGGTGCATGGAGGCGTAGGCTTGGAGCGTGGCGAGTGCCAGGTAACTGCTGCGACTCTTGAAGGTGACGGGGTCAGCCACGATGGCACGCAGGCCAAAGCGAGCATTGAGCTCGCAGTAGGTGATGTCGCCATCCTTGCACTGGTCCATGTAGGGCTGGCCATTGAACACCAGCCCGCTCAGGTGCCCGATGAAGTTGGAGGGCACCACAGAGATGAAACGCCGCTCCGTCATGATGCCTGTCTCAATGTTGTGGAACTCCAGCCGCGTGTGAGCTCCTGCCATCTGTCCTGCTCGGGACAGGAGACAGAGATGGGGACGTGGCTTTGGAGCCCAGATCGTAGGATCATTGGGTCCCCAGGAGCCTCCCCTCCACTCAAGGCCCACATGGGAGAGACACTGGCAAACCCTCGCAGTGGGTGCTGGCAGCAAGCACAGCTCCTGGGTCTGGGGGAGTTGTGGGACTCTTTAGGCCAGGGCTGACAGGCTTGCGGGGCAAAGCTGCCTGCGGGGAGTTGAAATGGTCCCTGGGGTCCAGGAGCCCATGATATACCAGTGGCACTGGCAGCTTGCCAGAATGCTGCCCCAGGTAGTGGTCACCAAGAATGGGGCCGCAGACCACCTACCCTCCACGGTCACGTTGTCCACTGACAGCTGCAGGCTCTTGCCACGCCGCACCACCCTCACCGTGTGCCACTCATTGTCATTGAGCTTGTGCCCCGCAAAGAGCGTCTCAGGGCCTTTACCTGCGGCACCAAGGGGGGAGTGAGCATGGCACCTCCACCCGCTCGCATATGGCTTCACGTACCACCCTGGGCACACAGAGCCTCACCACTGCACGCACCTATG